AAATTTGATAATTTTTTGATGCTTTCGAATGATTTTATTTATTGCCGTTACAATTGATTCTTCTTTATTTCCAATCTCGCTGATTGTAAGCTTCGATAACCAGCTTTGCAAAATCTCGATTTGTCCTCCTACATGAAAGACCTAAAATGAAAATTCACAATTTTAATTTAGAGTAATCTTTATCCACGAAGGATTCTTTATAATCATATATAAAAATTAGAATTAATAAATGTTTTATATTGAGCATTTATTTCGAAAGAAATATCTTCAGCTTCTAAATATAATGTGCAAAAATTAATTTGCGATTTATATCTGCGCAATTATATAGCGTACAAAGATTCGATGAGATGTCACAATTTTCTGAATTATGCTTCTTCCATGTATTAAAATATAATTTGGATATTCTTTTATATATCTCACATTATATATTCTACATTATATTAAAATTTAATTATTTAAAAGTTCAATTATTATTATTATTATTATTTTATTATGATTATTATTTTATTATTATTCTATTGCCATTAAAATTTTATTATTATTATGATTTTTCCATAATTGTTCATACAGTTGCATCTTACTAATATCAAAATCATGGCGTTCACAAGACCAGATGTCCAGTTAGACATAAACATGTGCAAGAATTCGGCGATTAATACAAATCTGTACATGTTTTGTGTGTTAATGTTGAAAGGAAATTTCATGTTGTTGATGTAAGGCAATTCAGCTGTTTTGGTAACATCGGCATCGGCGAGGATGATTTCGGAACAATATGAAATAACACTTAACGAGTTAAGAAGAATTATTATTTTACTGATACGATCCGATATTTTTGCTTTTTCCATCGTCACATGCACACCGATATCACTATTAGCGCAATCCTTCCAATCGTCCGCGATTAATGCCATAATTTCCATAAGTTTTCTGTGGATGATTGCGTTCCTTGATCACGCTGCCGAAGTAAAAATTGCAGATTGTCTCTCTAAAAACTGTCATCTCTAACTTATAACAAATAGCATCGGCGCTATTTTTCTTGATCAAAATTTTATCAAGGATATTTCTGCAATTTTCTATCGTTTCTTTTTTTCGAAGCAGCAGTAATGAATCAAATAAAAAGACAATTGCTAAGAGAGATAGTATATCCAATTTTTTGAGTATGATTTTGATTTGATTTGCGGTTATATAATTACTTTATAGTAGAATTAAATCCGTTAAACAGGTAAGCGATGGCAAAGGAAATTATTTTTAATTATTCTCAATAATTTATATAAATTATATACAACAAGTACAACACTTATTTGTTTCACTTACTGTTGATTTATCCAAAATAGAATAAGTTTAATGATTACTTTGCCATGCGCCAAAGATGTGCAGAAGCAATCCACCAAGTTGAAAAAATACTGGGAACTTAAATGCGTAAAGAAATAGTAGTAATGACAGAATTCGATGAATACAGCTGCAAAGATCCAAAACATTCTGATAATTAAAACGATCGATTTGCCTGGCCAGATACCACACAAGGGTAGTGAAAACATGATCATCTGACTAACTGTACTTTTACGAGTCATTGTCTTATATTTTTTCTGCGCTCATTTGTATTCCAAGAGCATTAATAAATGTGTAACAGAACTCTTGAGATAACAGAAGAGCTCTGATAGATTTTCGATGACAGCACAATGTTTATCATTGGACATCTGAGCGAGGACTGGGACGTTTTGCAAGATGCATCCTCGAGCAATCGACCAATGAAAATTGCTCATTAAATATTTTTGATATGCGTGCAGGCCTGTGTAATACAATATCGTCGTGTTTCCTTGTAATTATTTGCAGTTAAGAAAAAAAAGTATATGTGAGAGATATTTTTTACATACTTCGGTGACTTGGACTTCATAGTCGTGAAGCGCGTACTTTAAATACGTAATGATACGTGCAAGAGGGGAAATAGACGTTTCTTCTCACAAAGAAAATGTCTTCGATTTTTTTCCCTCGTGTCCTTCCGCAGATATCTCATCAAAGAAAAAAAAAACGTAATGTTACACGAACCAACAGCAGCATTGTCCATTGATACGTTTTTCATTGATTTTGTTCTTCTTATTATACATTGTTTTTCTTGTATATTTTTTGCGTAACTTTGGAAGATTTTGAAATATTATTAAGAAGATGCAACCAACCAATCGAAATTTCTCATTAATTATTTTCATATTGCGTGTACATATCGCGCACGTACGTAATGATTTTTCGCAAGTTGCATGAAAAGGGAAGATAGGTAGTCATTTTTTCTTCTGTCGACCGCTGGAAATACAACTGTGAATTATTTACTTTAAATATGCAATGGGGTTCGTGGGGTGATGTGCATTCAACATATAGCCATGTCCGTAATTGTTTGGAAAAGTTTTCGTAATATAGAGAATGAACGCGCGAAAAATACATAAACAGCTAACATCACATTTTACGTTATTCCATTTAGAACAGTTAAAAGCAAGTCTTGTATATATTTCAATATTCTTATATTGTTGAACAAAAATAAACAAATATAAAATTTTATGCATTAAAATATGTGTAAAATAATTTTCTACTATATAAAGATAATTGCAAGAAAAGATAAAATGTGTAAATTAATTTTAATTAATTCTTGCAAATAAAATTAACAATTTGTTTTAATTTAAGTATCAAAAACAAAGAATAGTCTCTTTATTCACGGGAATTATTTATAAATATAAACAAATATATGCTTTGAATATATTTCAAAAATTATTATGACGTTAATTATTTACTTTAATGTGTACTGATTCAATTAAAAGACAATAGATTTTGTGACAACTTTTTTTTCTCCCGACTGCTGCCAACCGTAGGTTGGCGAAAAGAGAGGAAGTATGCGTTTCATCGAGCCCGGATCGGTCGTGACCTTAATTCTCGATAACTACTGCATAGTTTTATATCAACTTTGGAACATAAGTTTCTTATTAATCAAGGAAGGTTTAAAGCGTATTATTATCGTTATTTATTCTATTAATAAAAAGTGAAAAATGAGTATTATTTCGTCAATACGGTCTCTCATTGGCTGCTGTGTGAACCTAAGAGGAAAAATGATTCACCAATGAGATTCGTTGTAGTATCCGGATAGGGAATGTTGGTGACATTGGTATATACATCTCGAAGTAATAATGACGGGACTGATAGGATAGGTTAGCTGTCACCTGTTGCGTGTTATTGTCAACAACAATATTAAGTGAAGTGTATTATTATGGATATATCTCAAGAAGATATAAATAAAGGAGTAAGTTTCTTCTTTTATATTTATTATTTTTTTTTTTGTTTATTATTATTATTTATTATTATATATTTATATAGGCTGATATTCTGGAAGAGATCTGAAGAAGAAATTCATTATTAAAATAAACGAAGTCTTGTTATAATAATTAATAAAAATATATAATATAATTAATAATATAATTAATCTGTTGTAGTATAACATGGCTATGAATTTATATATTGTCTGCGTAGCCATTTATTTGCTATTAAATTTGCTACGTAGCCACATTGCTATAAATATTAACATATATAATTGTATAAATGTATATATTATATTTTTCTCTTATTTGTATATTATATAATAATTATATAATTAATTAAAAATATGTATACAAATATATTTATAGTTATACAAAGATATTAGCGCAAATAATTATGGCAATGCAGACAAATATATTAACTTACATAGCCAATTATCTACTACAAAAGATTATTCACATATGTAATAATAATTAAGGCTATACAAATATATAAACTTACTTGTGATTACATAATGTATAAACTTATATAACCATAAGAAAGTTAATATATTTGTCGAAGCCATAATTATAATTGCGTACAAGTTTACGTATTTGATATAAGATATTGTTGTCATCTGTCTTTGTCATCTGTCTCTCTCTATCTATCAATCTATCTATCTAGCTATTTTTTTTTATTTATCTCTCTATTTATATTATATTATATTAATTAAAAAAATTGTAGCAGAAAAATATTTGGAAAGAATATAGAACATTGCAGTCACATGGTGAGTGTATGTGTCTTTATTATTATTATTATTATATTATATACATTGTAATATATATATTACATAATAAAAACTTTTACATGTGTAGGATGAAGAAGCAGAGAGACAAAAGAATGAAGAAACAGCATAAGAACAGCAATAAATTAGAAAATAAATAAAAAAAAAAAATAATAAAAAAATTAGAAAATAAAAAATAAAAAATAAAAAACAATTAAAAAAAAAATAAAAAATAAAAAACAATTAGAAAATAAATAATAAAAATAAATTAGAAAAAAAAATTAGAAAATAAAAAATAAATTAGAAAATAAAAAAATTAGAAAATAATAAAATTTTTTACAAAAAAAAACTCCCGACTGCTGCCAACAAAGTTTTAATGTTTAAATTAGAAAATAAATAAAAAAAAAATAATAAAAAAATTAGAAAATAAAAAATAAAAAATAAAAAACAATTAGAAATAAATAAAAAATAAAAAACAAAATTAAAGTAAAAAACAAAACAAAAATTAAAAATAATAAAAAAACAAAAAAATTATAAGTATAAAAAATAAGCTTGTAAAAGTTGGAAATAATCACACATAAATAAAGTCTGTTGTTTATTATATAATTTTTCTTATTTAAATTTATTGTTATCATACATATTTAGCGCTATATAATTTACAAAAATTTCAGATTTTTGAATTCAAAAATTTTTTTTAATTATAATTATTGCATCTGTATTTGGAAAAATATTTTATATTACAATGTGTTTTTTATTTTAACCAATAATATAAATAACTCTCGATTTTGACTATTATTTAAAAATTAACATTTATCTAACATTATTTTTTATTGCATCGTCAACAATACCGACAGATACGATCCCGAAGCATTCATAATCTGAAATAATTTTGCTTGTTGTATTAGAAATCAATATACCTATAATTATAATATAAGCATGCACTTTTTAAATTTTAAGATAAAAGCATAATACATATATGCATAATTCTTACGCTTGTGAAGGTTTCTAAGGAGAGATTCATCATTTTTCCCACTGTAAGCGTTAACTGTTTCTGCGATCTTAATATGATAAATAACAAAATACGACTGTCTTTAGATTTCAGATCGTACCATGCACAATTGTATGCTGCAATGCCAATTTCCTTGCTCTACAAAGATATTAACAAAAAAATGTTTGAAATTTATAAATAATTTATTAATATTTCTTAATAACGCATCTATAATATAAGTATAATTTTTAATAATATTCTTTTTCAAAAAGTAAGCGCACAATCTTCTTTTTCTCAATTCTTTATTATTATAATATCTATTATTATATCATCTTATAACCTTGCTGCTCAGATATTCTCCAGCGAAGCAGAATATAAACGCCTCGAGATTCGTTATGGTGTAAAATAAGAGGGACTTTAGTATTTGTTCTAACGCATTGGGACTACCGATTGCCTGCGAATATTATATGATTATTTTTGACATTCTATACGTATGACATGTTAATAAAAAGTATATATATGTAAACGGAATATTTATTCATAAAAATATTAAATTTTTAATATTGAAATTTTATATTAAAAATATTAAATTTTAAAATTTAATAAAATAACTGTAAATTCATATATATTTCATAATATATTATATTACTTATATATAATTACTTGAAGGATTTTAATAATTTTATATTCAACTCACTGTTACGATAACGAAGGCTAGAGAGCAAATCATTATTGTATTTGAGATAAATTGAAGCAACGCAATGTATGAATAGAGACTTTCGATATTCTCTGAAAAACTGATAATTTTTTGATGCTTTCGAATAATTTTACTCGTAATAATGTGATATGGTATACGTTTGTTCTCCTCTTTGCGGGGTACAAGCTGCAATAGCCAGGAACGTATAATGTCGATTTGACCAGCCGTATGTAAAATCTGGAAAACAAATCCTGTTGAAATTGATGATTCAACCGATTGATATTCAGCAAAACAAAACATTGCGCGCATAATAGCACCATTAAAATAAATAACAAATTTCACATATCAGATTCTCCATTTAAATTCTTGAATCTATCACAGTTTCAAAACGCATCCAATAAAATTGACTTATCCGAAATTAATTTATTATATGTTATATTAAACTCAACATATTTATTATATATATATATATATATATATGTGTGTGTGTAATACCTTTAAATATATAGATCGCTCTATTCAACTTACCAAAGTCAATAATAAAGAATTTGTTATACCAGCCGCCCAACCGTAAAAAAGCATAAATACGAATTCTATGATTAATACAAATCTGTACATGCGCTGCGTGCTTATATTGAAAGGTATTTCTAATTTGTTAAGTAGAGGTATTTCTGTCGCCTGAGTGACATCGACATCGGCTAAAATAATACCGATGCAATACGCTACAATTGTCGTCGTATGAAGTGTGACGATCGCGTTTGTGATACGATCTGATATTTTTGCCTTGCGTTCTGTTTCACGTATACTGATGACATCGCCATTATCGCAATCATTCCAATCTTCCCTTATCATCGCCAAGATTTCGATGAATTTTCTGTGATCATATATTAGTTAATCGTTCACAGAATGCATTGCAATTTTAATTATCATATTTTGGAAATTTATTTCTTTAAAATTTGTCAGTTTTTGATATTATGAACCAATTTTTGGAAATTCTTATTTATTGAAAATAAAATTAATTATTGACAAGAACGCTAAGATGTGTCAACATATAATAGAGAATATTATATAACTGTATTCTCTCTTCGACAAAATTCTTTTATAGAAAAGTATTTTTTCCAAAGCCTATCAAATTGTATAAGTAAGAATTATTTCTCATGATTTTATAACAAATGAGTAAGAGAGAAATTTTTTGAAGTGTTTTATAGTCTTCCACTTTTAAGAACAAAAATGATTTTACAACTAAAAAAAATGTTTAACTTTACATTAATCCATATTTGTTTTTTGCAGAGTTTTTTCACATTACTTACCGCTGATTGATCCAAAACACTAAGAATTTAATAATCACTTTGGCATACGCGAAGAAACTAGACATACAGTCCATCAAGTCCATCAGTTTGGCGGAATGTATATGCGTGAGAAAGTAACGATAGTGACAGAATAAAATAAATATCACCGTAATGATCCAACATATTCTGCAGAGTACTATGCACGGTACGCCTGGCCAAACACCGCACAAAGTAAGCATAAACTTCAGCGTGCGATTAAGCGTACTCTTCCGAATCATTTTTTTTCAATTCTGCCCGTTCTCCACGTTCAAGCGAGTCCATCGATGTGTATATATAACGGAATAAAAATTCTCGGGAAAATAAAAAAAGAACACGCTTCGCTCAGTTATATCCGTTTTCGATGACAGTATTTCGCGGAATATTTGCGCGAGAAAAAATTCTGCGTCTCTTTATGCGAGAGTTCTTCTTCAGAACTGGTTTTCAGTCACTAGCAATTGATCACACGCACGCACGTGATAATCGAAGTTTCTCATTAATTATTTTCATCGTGTTGCGTGCACGTATTGCAAATATATTGTGGGTTTTCACAAGTTTGTTGCACGAAAAGGGAAGATAGGTAGTCATTTCTCCCTCTCTCGACCTTCGTTGGAAATACAACCGCAAATTGTCTATTTTAAATATGCAATGATTCGTGCGGTGGTGGAAACGACAGTGTACATCCAATGCGCAGTCGTGTCCACGGCTCTTCAGTATGAAATATCGAGGTATAGAGAATAAAGTGCCGGAAAGAGAACGAATCAACACATAACGCGACACTGTTTTTCTGCTTATAACAATTAAAAATAAATTTCTGTTACTTAACATACAATTTGTGCGACAAATATTTAAAAAGATTTAGAAGTGTATGGAAGTGTGTGAAATAATTTGCTGCAATCGAAGAAAAAATACGACAATGACACGTAATTTTAATATTTGGTCAATATTATACAGATTCTTACATTTAATGTGGATGATTGACAAGTAAATCGGATGGTCAAATAATATAATTTTATTTAAATCATATGTTCCAAAACTAATTTTTGTATCCTACAAAAATACAAGATTTTAATTATTGATTGCAGATTTTATAAAATATTCTTTTTATTTTAAGAAATGTGAAACTTTGGCTTTATGTTTTTAACATGATAACATATAGATTATATATTCTTTCATTGTTATTAATATTGTTATATTAATATATATCTGGATGCTCATTTTATTCAAGTTTTATTCCTCGGAAAAATAGAAAAATAAATACTGAATTTTATTATAATGTACAATAATAAAAATTTATGTATTGCATTGGTCGATTATGTTAATGCGATATTGTATAGAAAATATGACGCGGAAGAGATTAGGAAGAATTTTTTAATAAGAATTACCGAACTTAAATAATTAATTACAACAGAATATTAAGAAACTGTGATATTTATAATATTAAATTGCTCGCACTTTTGCATTACTTTTTCACTTATCATTACGATAAAAAACTTAGCGAACAAATAATTTAGTATTTAAAATTGAAATATAACATGATGTATGAACAATCTGAAAGATTTTGATACTTGTCGATAAAATAATGATTTTCTGATGTCTCCGAACTATTTTATTCGTCGCGACTGATTCTCATTTCTATAATATGCAAGTTCTATCAGCTGCAGCTAAGCATCAATCAGAAACGCATAATATCAATTTGACCAGTCGTAAGTCTAAACATAAAGATCTCATTGTGTTAATAGAATCGAATTGTGGAATTCAAATGTATGTGGAATAACTGATATTCAAAAAACGAAATAAATGCATATTGTGCGAGATAACACAATCAATTTCTGCATCTATTGTATTGAGGTTTCAGAATTGCGTACAATACAATTGCTACATCCACCAAATCCAATATTATCTTTCCAATTATGTGTAGTTTCGAATTTCGCTCAATTTTATTTTCAACTTACTAAAGTCAATATCAAAGAGTTTGTTTCATCAGTCAACCAGCCGCAAAGAATCAATTGCGTGATTAATGAGAATCTGTATGTGTGTGTACGTTGCGTGTTTATGTTGAAAGAAATTTCCATGTCTCTTTGGCAGAGAAAAGAGAATTTTGCGGTATTAACATAGGTCAGGATAATACTATGATGCAGATTGCGAGAATTCTGCACCATTTATTTGAATTATTCGCATTTTTGCACGTTGATTTATTGTTTATGCAATTATTCCATTTTTATATTACTTTCGCCAAAATAAATTTTCTGTGAATAATTGTATTTATCGATCATATGTTACCAAATGCAAGAAAAATTTAATTTTTGTCATAAAAATTAATTTCTTTACAGATTTGTCATTTGTAAATATTACAAATTAATATTTCTAATGTTTTTCAGACATTAAGAAGTTTCTTATTGATAAATTATTATTATTATACGGATAAAAATAATTATAGATGTGAATTTAACAAAATTTGGGACAATTTTTCATCTTCTTATCTAAAGCTGTATTATCACATATATAAAATAATAAAAATGTATTGTTTAATGTTTTTTTATATCTTAATAATATATCTTACATATTAATTTTATTAAAATTTCTAACTCTATTATATTTTTGAGAAAAAATGATACGAGTAAGTCTTCTGAATGTTTTTCTATAATTTTTAAGTTATACATTTTCTTGATGTAACTTTAATATAATACTTTTTTCTTGATATAATCCATGATGGAGACGTATATTAATTAAAATATTTTTGCAAAATATTCTCAGTGTTGTATAACTAATATATACATTAAATTACTTTTTAATTAAATTAAAGTAAAAAAATTTATAATTATTTTAGAGTGTGTAAGAAAACTAGACAAACAGTTCGAAATCCGCTAGAAATCGATATTGATGAAACATATTATTTATAAAACAAACTGTTAATCTCGGCTCAAATTATTGTGTTACAATAAAAATAAAATCTCGACGGCAATCGGAGCCTGTGCGGATGACATGCACAAAATTAATAAATTAAAATGAGATCTCAAGTCAAACTCATTTATTAAATTCTAAACGTTTCGACCCACTTCGGGTCTTCTTCAGTAGCTGCAAAATACAAAGAAACAAAAAAAAATAAAAGATAATCGGTACAATCAGAAAATTATAAAACTCGTATACATACAATCCGCAAATAAATTAAATATCATTCTCCTCCCTATTCGAACCGTCCGGCCGTCGGAGTGTCTCCCTAACGGTGACCATCGTCAGGAAGGAAGCAGAGCAGTGACTCCCTTACCAACACTAATCAACATAGTATAAATTAAACGTGTAAGATCCCAAGAATTATAAATTAAAAACCGGGAAGAACACTCACCCCGACAGCAAAAACAGAGAGAACACGATGCTACACGTGACACATCACTCTAACGACTGTGCGGTATTCTACCTCGACACAGTCGATACATATATACGCAAAAAAAAACAAATATAAAAATAAAATATGAAAATAAAAATAAAAACACTAATACTTATCGGCACTCATGTCAAAGGTCTAACGAAAAAATCCGGTTATGTATAATCACAAAGCTAGATTTTGGTAAATTTTTCAATTAACAGATCAAAATTCTCGTTTAATTTGTCGGTGTCGCTATGTAAATTTAAACTATTCTTCTGACGCTTTATGTGGATCATTTCGGATATCAAACGTTTACCTAAAAAAGGCTCCTCATCCAAGATTTTTACATCCTCCCAATTAAATTCATGGTTCAATAATCTATGTTCCGATATGACTGATAATTGTGACGCGTTTCTTTTTATGTTGCTGCGATGTTCTTTCATCCTAGTTTTCAACAATCTACCCGTCTGCCCCACATACGACGCATCACAATCCATACAATCAATTTTATAAACTACATTGTTATGGAGTTCCCTTGGTAACTTATCCTTGTGTACTTTAATGAATTTACGGAGACTGTTAATTGCTGTATAGGATGGAATGACATCCAAATCACGTGTAATGTCCTCGATTCTCTTTGATACATTATTAATATACGGAATATTAAAGTACGAAACTTTTTTCTGCGTTGGAATCTTGTCATTGCATATATTTGTTCTATTGTTATGCAACTTATTATTGTACCGGAAGAACAACTTTTTTAACCGCGCTTGTAATGTTTGAAATATCAATTTGAGAGGATAATTATTAGACAAAAGAACTCCAATCATAGACTCAAAATTATCTTTATGGAATTTCGGATGAGATAGCCAAAAAACTCTATCTATGAGGCTGATAATGGTGCCTTTTTTATGGCAGAGAGGATGCTGCGACTCAAAATTTAAATATCTACCTGAATACGTCGGCTTATGAAATAAATCAAACTCAATGCTTCCATTATTTATAATAATAGTGACGTCTAAAAAATTCAATCGGTTGTCAACCCCTTCCTCCATGGTGAACTGCAATCTAGGATGGAAAGAATTGAAAGTGTTTAAAACAATTTTAAGCATGGAGGGAGGGGCCGCCAACGCGATATCGTCAACATATCTAAAATAAAATGGAAATGAC